GAATCCAGAGTCAGGGTCGAACGTCACGTTCGGCCGATTCTGAACATTTTACGACTTTCCTTAGGGGTTGTTGATACGACTCCACACCACTGCACGTGAAGTGGGTCACTCACAAAGATGACTCCCTTCCAAGAATCGCAGATACGGCCCACAATTTACTCTGGTCGTAGTTACATATGAGCAAGATGCGGTAATTCGCTTCAATGAGAAAGAAGTTGTATCAGCTATTTTCTAGCACATATATTTAGTTACTCATTTGCACAAGCGAAGATAATTTTCATGGCTTAGAGGCATACAATAAGTTGCAGAACCATGTTATGATCGTCATACAAGCGGAACATTAGCCTCTTTTTTGTACTTGTAGTTAGCTTAGAGAGACCGAATTGGGGGGGGGGTCTTTCACTTGTGAGCAGTCCTCTCACATAATCGTGAGGTTTTTCATCCTACTATATATAATGCGCTAAGTCTGTCTGTCTGTCTGTCTGTCTGTCTGTCTGTCTGTCTGTCTGTCTGTCTGTCTGTCCGTCTGTCACGAAATTCGGTACTACCTGAAGAACCACCTACAGAGTCCAGGTCAAGTTTGGATGGGTGGGGTTTGGGTCAAGAAGTACAAAGCACATATCAGCTGGACGGTGCTCTCGGCATACCTGTAGGCGGAGCGTGTTCTTAAGGGGGCAATGTTTATTACAAATCCTCATAATTCGGGTCAGGAAATTCTCAGAAACCGGGAAAAAATGGCTAAAGGTTAGAGAAGAAGGAGAAGTCAAACTGTGGTAGTGGGCGTGGTATGCGTCGGAGCGGGCGGAGTTTGCCACGAATTTATAACTCGGTTCCAAGAAGTCCTGGAGATCGGGAAAGAAGAATAGAATTTAGCGAAGGAACAAAGGTCCCACGCTGCCGGCGGGCGTGGCGCGCCCCGGATTGGGCGGTGTTTCTCACGAAACTTCATGTTTGAGTTCCAAGAAGCCCAAGAGACCTTGAAAAGCATACATATAAGGTCACATAAAGAACGAAGGGTAAATGTTGGTGATGGGCGTGCCCTGCGCCGATTTATGCGATGTTTGCAGCTGATTCTACAATTTGGTTCCAGGAAGTTTCGAAGACCGGGGAAGAAGTGGATAGTCCGACAGTGGAAGGTAGGTAAACAGCTGTTGGTGGGTGCACAGAATGGGTGAAGTCACCCGCGAAACTTTATAATCGTTTCCAAGAAGTCCTGGAGATCGGGGAGAGTCTGAAAACGGAAGGAAGTTCAATGCTATATGTGAGTGAGCTGTGCCCCAGATGGGTGGAGTTATCCATGAAACATTCCAAGAGTCCTGGAAACCGGGAAAAACTGAATAGGATTCGACAACGAAAGGAGGTCAACTGCTATTGGTGGGTGGCGTCAAGGTGGGCGGAGTCTGCCACGAAGCGCCCATAATTCACTTCGCAGCACCGTTTGCAGTTTGTTCACGTTCCAATAAATGCTGAAGAAGGCTTTTTTCAGAATCGCTAAAAGTAGTACGTATAGCGAAATGCTAAAGATGGCTTGTTTGAAAATTATAGTTCAGGAATGATGGGTCGGAAGACAATGGAGGCAATTTCTTGGCTGGTTGATGAGGCTAGTTTGTTTTATATTCAATTTCTCGGTGTTTTCGCATTTGCGTCCTCTGATATGGTGAATCATAATCCCAGGAATTTTTGGCTAGTGCGGCCACTTCCTCTTCTCCTTCACCTTATGAAGGAAACCCTGCTCGGAGGTCTAGCGCATGGTTCGCGATCAACTGCAAGCACTCACTTACTGGTATATATGTAGGGCCTGTAATTATCAGTGATGCGAGCTTTCATGTGCAATCTGCTAAAGTGAAAGTAACATTGCTGGTCATTCATTGTCTAATTATTAGTTTCGCTGGCCACGCAAGTAGATTAGGCTTAATAGGTTGTAAACAAGCCCCATCGAATGAACTCCCCCACTTTCATGATTTGGGGCGCGGCCGCGGCGAAGTGCGGGACGAGTCCACAGTGCCCGCGAACTGTGGTGGTGGAGCGTTTTCGAATTTACCCGCATAGTTCGCAGGCACTATGGGCGCACGCATAGTCGGTCGCACGAACAGCAACGACGTAACTGTCGCACAGCATTGGATGCGTATCGATCGTCGGACTTGCCTGAGTATTCGACGATTAGATGCAGTCTAGACAGTCAGACAGTTGCGACCGTTGCTGTCGGACGACGATATGCCGTGCTGGCTATCGACTCGGCCGCCCGCGGCCGTGGTGCGCGCCCAAATCATGAAGAAGTGGGGGAGCCTGAGATATGGGTATATGTAAGGATAGGTTATGTCTTTTCAGTGAAGATGTTACCATGACCTCCCTGTCGGTTACTCGCTTGCGTGTCTTTATCTTGGGCCTTTCCACCACTCAATCTTCATCTAATGTGCACGAGGTCTATGCTTTGTCGAAGTGTCAAAACTGATAAATTTGTTTTCGGAAATCTCCCACATATTTTGAAAATTTTTCGTTTCTAAGCTCCTTTACCATGCCCTCTCTGTGACACAACCACAAAGAAACGCTCCTCTTACCAAAATTTTAACTACAATTGACCATTGCGCAGAAGACGGTTGGCTGCTGCGGGTTTACGGCAACCACTTGGTATTTTTTCTTCAATGGTCTTACCGCGATCGGCTAGGCACAGACGATCTAGAAGAACGGATAGTCTCTAAATTGGGGGGGGGGGCGATAAGTCTTTGAGAGGAGAGGGCGGGCGGAGTGCAGAGGGCGGTTTGAAAGGACTGAGTTTAAGTAGTCCGTCACCGCTTCTTCTCTTACTTGAGAGGAAGAGTTGTAAAACCCGTAGGACTAGTAGTTTTTACGCAACGTGCTTCTGTGGGGTTTTTTTCCGAACTACTTTTCAATTCCAGGTCGATATTGCTGATCGTGTGACTCCGGAGGAATACGTGGTTGAATATGGTGCTATGTTAGCTGAAATGTTTCGCATGTGTGATAGCATGCCAGGAGCGGAACGTCTCGTTCGACATTTGGCAAGTAAAGGTAACCTTTGAATCTAACGTTGAATTGGTAAATGCTAATTCAAGGCGGTATGCCATATGTTGAAGATGGAGCATATGTGTGATCTTCGGATAATAGACATACGTCGGGATTGGATTGACATACTAAAAGAAGAGAAAGACCATTCGTGCGATATCGTTCTGAAAATCTCAATAGTATCATTGAAAAATCGGTGGTTAATGTACTAATGGTCTGTACTTCGTTATAGGTGTTCTCAAAACTAAACTTGACTATCATTACAGATGGCGGTGTGCTGACTAATAGCATGCAATAAGATTTCTTTCGAAACAATCCTCAATTAAGGTGTTCCCATGGCCATTTGTTCGGGATCCTGCAGCCGTACTTTTGCATTGAAAGCCGAAAAGCACAGGGATTGGATTGATTTGATACCTATTCACGTAAGTTTTTGGGGTTTGCTATGGGATTTTGCTAATCTTTCTGAAGCCTGCTGTGTGAATTGTGATGGGAAACGTCCTTGAGGATAAAATAATCTCTCAAATCATCATAGGTGCTTAGCGGCGACGATATACACATTAAAAGAGGCAAGCCGTTCCCGGATCCTTTTCTCGAAACAATGAAGAGGTTAGCAGAATCCCTATAATCCCTTAGACGTCCTTTAAATCAGAAATAGTTCGCCGTTAAGGGCTAGGTCATTTTCAGGTTCTCAGAGCCACCCACCGATCCATCTCATGTGCTCGTTTTCGAAGACGCTCCTAATGGTGTGAAAGCTGCTCATGCCGCTGGAATGCAATGCGTGATGGTGCCAGATCCAGTTTTCCACGAGGGATCGAAACTGCTATGGTACGGTTCAATCGTAACATTTTTATGTGTTTGTTAGTTCGTGTAATGTGGCTGCGCATACGTCGAAAGAACCTCTCAACACCTATTGCTTCAAAGGCGCGAATCATTGTTCTCGGGACTTCCACATGAACAAATCATGACACCACTTTCTATCGTAATTGTGAAGAATTGGGTGAAACCTAATGTTTGGAGCAAGTTCTTGTGAATATCCTGACTTTTATTAGCAACTTTTACGTCAACAGCCTGCAAGCACGCGACAGACAAATATAAACAGTATGATCTTGCGCTGTAAGCATAATGTACTTAGAAATAACATAAACGCTGCAATGTTTTGTCGTTGATAGATTGATGAATTCTGCGAAAGGTGCTACACTTTGGTTCCATGTTAATGATCTGGGAAGGGGTTTGGAAAAGAGGAACCTTGAGAATCGAAGGCTACTGAATCTCACGAAGTAACCTTCTTGATATATTCAGTTTTCTTCTTTATCATAAACCTTAATTTTCCGACCTCTATGGAATGAAAGTGACTAAGAGAACCTTATGATTGGGTGCCAATTGAAAAACATCTCCACTATTCTTAGGCACTGTGTAGTCGTGGTGTGACAGTGAAATATTTCAACACTATTTCATTCGCAAACTCTTTCTCATTCTATCCACTCCTTAGAGGGCTATCATTGGAACTTACTGACTTACTTACACTTATATGTATAAGTATAAATAAGTTCCAATTCTATCATTATAAGTAGATCCTACTATATATAATCGCTAAGCGTGTGTGTGTTGTGTGTGTGTGTTTGTGTGTTTGACCGGAAATTCATAGCTCGGGTCACAGCAATGATAGCGCCATGGTTCTTACATATGTTATAGGGGGTGGGATGGGGACACAAGTGGTACGTGATAGGAACTGATAACGACTGATAATAGCTGATAAGAGGGGCTAGAAAGCGAGCATCGCCAATTTCGTTTTGTCGTTCATATTGGTACTAGAGCGTCTATACTTACAAGTGTTATGTGGGGTGGTCCCGGGACATTGGTGGTACATGATTGAAAGTGATACAACTGATAAGGGCTGATAAGGCGCGTCAGAACGCAAAAGTCGTCGATTCCGTTACGCAGCTTGCGCTGACACTAGAGCGTCCCTACTTACAAATTCTATTTGTAGTGGTACGTGCACATTGTATCGTTGTATGACCAGCTTACTTAACCCTTAGACTACGACTTTTTTAGAAACAAGTTATCGATGTGTTTTGTGTAGTAACAGTCGCTCCTAGCAACAACTAATCATCTGTAGAAATTTGGCTGACGCGCGCTGGGTTTGAGCTGGGATTCGATCCATATGCGCGGCAGTGGCCCCTCCTGTCACCACACCATCTCCGCTCGAATGAGCATTTTTGAACAGTTCAAATACCATTCAACAAATACACATTTATCACATCTCATTCGTGGAACAAGGCAATGTCCGGTTGGGAACGCACTTGAAAAGAATTGCAAGCCGCACTTTGTAGAAGTGCTGCTCCCCTGCCTACAGGCTGCGCCCACCGGCTGCTTCTCCTCTAACGAATTTTCGCTGGTTTTTATGCTCGAAAGCTGCGTCATAGGAGTGTTCTACTACCACTTCCGCATCAAACGAACTGACAAAACTCCGGAGGTTGGAATTTCCAACGCAGTCGTAAAACGCTGTCGTCCTCTAACTGGCTTGCGGCCGATAAAAACCTCCATCCGTCATCGGTTTGCTTATGTTTCACCTGTTTCACAATAATTGAGGGAAATATTAGAACCATTAACACAATACAAAGAGTGTGAGACTCGAAAACTACCTTTTCGGGAGCTGTGCACACTGCCCAGTGACCTGTGGAACGACTTGCTTATCAACTTATCCAGCGTAACTCGCTTAGACTTCTGATACTTCGCTGACAGAGTAAGAATTACCAAGTTTCTAGTTGTGCACAATTCCGCCATAAAGTGGGCCCTCCGATC